CCATCATCTATTTGTGACATATTAGATGTAGCAGCATGTGTGGTGTGATTGTTTTGCGCGGGGGGGGGGGGGGGGGGGGGGTTTTGTTTGGTGTGTGGGGGGGGGGGGGGGGGGGGGGGGGGGGTAGCAAAATATTTCATCAACTCAGAAAGTAATCACTGAATGCACTTTTATGTCTGATTAACTATTTTGAGCCGACCCAATTCAAGATGGCCACCACAACTAATCAACTTCAGCAAAAACAAAAATGGCTACTGTCAGTTTTACAGAAGTTTTTCCAAGAACGGGTGTGGTTGCAACTGAGAGTCATCCCCATCACATTGAGTGATAACAGATAGCACAAGATCTTTGCTGAAAACTTTGGTGTTAATGATTAAAGCCAACCTCAGTTGTTTGTTAGTAAAATATCTTGTGACTAACAAGAGAGATTGCGCTGAAACTGCTCGTAGGCAATTACTGGATGCAAGTGATTAACTAATGGAGTCAACCTAAGTCAAGAGCTGGGGTGGGGGGGTGGCATCTGGAACAGTGTTCACAGACTTACTTCACACGTGCACTCATACACTCATTTGCACACACTTCCTTCTACCCACCGCCTTCGCTGGCCTCCCCCTGCATCTTACTTTGTCATTTGTTTGTTGCTTTTTTCCTTTCTTTTTTGTGCTGAGGGTTTTTGCAACCTCACACTGTGTCCTGTTAAGGGTACAGTGTGAGATATGTTTTTTTTTTTGTTTGTTTTTTTACATCTTCCTTCTCTCGTGTTCCCTTTTCATTATCTAACAAAAAAAGGCAGTGCCTCTCATGAGGCTGCAGCCTCAGGCACCCCCGTCTTCCCATGTATGCTGTTTTGATGTTTGTGTTTCTTGGACGGGCTGTACTTAAATGTAATTTTGTTGCGCTTCAGTGCAATGACAATAAATCTGATTCTGAAAAGAAAGAAAAAAAATTTGGACCAGTCTCTTGAAGTGAGAAACGTTTAGTCTCCTATCTGGAAGACTTCATCAGTCTACGTTCTGCCAACCAGATCTGTCCCATTCATTGCTGTGCTTCAAGCCAACCTGTTGGAATCTCAGAAGCAGACTTTCAACACATGCAAACAGAGCACACACATCCAAAATAACCAATCATCATGTATAACAATCAAATGTTTTAAGCTACATGGCCGACTTGCTACTAAGGCAGGCCACAGACTAACAAAGTCTTCTGGATGGGAGACGAAATGATTCTCAATTAAAGAAACTGGTCCAGATGACATGATTTAACCTTTTTTTTGTTCACAATTAATCAACTTTGGAAACCCCCTTAATGTCTAAATCTTAGTCTGTTTAAAAATGAGCTAAAATTTGGTGTGGCGTTAGTAAGCTGTCATCCCCATCACATACTTTAAAAGCTACCAAATCATGCAAAACGTTTTATTGAAACTTGTGCTTGGTGGTAGACATTCCTTCAAGCATTAATATTTTAATTTTATGGGATTTATATGAAAAACCTCTTAACCTAATAGATTCACTTACTTTCCTGTGAGGTTCACAGTCTTGACCTCCACGTAGATCTTTGTTCGTAACTCAAGTCCTGTTGAAGGTGCAACCAAAGGATACTTATAATCAGAGTCCTGAAGAAATGAGACAAAGTTAGTTTAAAGAGTACATCTGATTTGTCAAAAACTGTTAAAATGCCAAATGTACCTACATTAAATACATGCATTCTTAGCGTATCCATGAAGGATCCATTATTTTGACTAATTGCCACTGAAACAGAAGAGCTAAAAAATTGCAGAAATAGGAAAAGGGAGAAAATTATTAATGTTACTAAAACAATAATCTTGAGAAGATAATAAAATTTGCTAAAAAGCGTTTGAAAGTACTCACACAGAAACCTCCGTGTTGTTCAAGAGATACTCCAGCGGGTAGCGGCAGGAGAAGTGGTAATACAGGTCTGTGGAGTAGCTGATCATGCCCTGATCAGATCCGGGGGTGTCGATGTACCCCGTGATGAGAAAAGACTGTATGCTTGAGAAACTGCTAAACGGACCTGTAGGATCTGGGGCTTCATCCACAATCTGCACGAGACAGCAGCAAACACAGGTCGGGTTTTACGTCTGTTCAGCCCTAATTGTTGTATTTTAATCTATGCTTACCTGCAGAGTCAGGTGACAGGAGTTATCCTGGCTGCTGTTAACAAGAAGCTGGTAACGGATGACCGGTGGGTTCACGGTGGTGTCAACAGAACCCAAGCAGGCCCAATTATTGTGGTTCCCGTTGACTGCCAGCTCTGAGGCGTTAAAGCCTGCCCACTGAGCCGTGCACAAGTTGACCTCCACGGTTATTATGGTGGTGCCACAACTAACCAGCAGATCTGAGTCATCTTAAATAAAAAGACACAAACGTACTTGAAATAATCGATTCTTTGCAGTGATCAAGTTATTTAAATACAATGAATGTCGAAGGTAAATTAAGATTTAGTTGATTTAGTTGTTATTTTTAAAAGGAAAACATGTTTGTTTTTTGTTTTTTTTTGTTTAACCTACCTGGATTCCTGTTATAAATAGAAGAACAATTATAAAGACATAAAGCAGGCTGCAGGAGCACAGCCAGCAGATGGAGACAAAGAAAAGGGACCATTTTGTCCACAAGAAGCTCTTTCAGGCCTGTAAATATTTAGGAGACATAAGAGCACCTCAGACAAATGTACCACCAAAAGACTACAACTTTTCTAAACCACTTTTAAATTCTTTAAAACAAAAAGACGTGATAACAGTATCAAACAATAGCTGTACAGCATTTAATGGCCTGAGTCTTACCTGGCTGGGTTGCACCTTAGACTTCTCAGAGGTAACTGAGTAAAAAGGCTTTTATACTCTATTTGATACTTGAAGCCGTAGCTATCGTCTTGACTCACGAGCCCGCCCAATGCCTACGCAGCGACACATTCTCGATGTCGGTACCGTGATTTGTCATGTAGGCAGCAACAGCCCTGGGCATGATCAGATGTTCATCCAGCAGAATAGTGTGGGATTTGATACAGATACCTCAGGTCAGCTATGAAGGTTTCAGGTTTCTGTCTGTTGGAAACAGATATTAAAGACATGATGAACCTGTTGGGGTTACAAGTGGTTGTAGGCAGGCATTTGAGGCAGTGCGCAGAAATAAACATATTCCAGTGTAAGAGCAAAACAATAATTTGGCATGGACCCAGATTGTAGAAACTATCTATTTGGAGCATCATAGCGGAAGAATGAGAGACTTTTTGTAAAAGGTACATTTTGTATGAATTTAAACAAAAAGATATGAAGAAATGGCTATTTTTACCAAGGATTCATGTGTAGAGAATAAACCATTTTAAATGCTTGAAAAGGGATTACGGCTGTCATGAACAAGGCCGTGCTCACCCAACCCTTTGTTTCTTTTCTCTGCTTGTCCAACTTGTCTTGTATTGTCTCCAGGGAGCTGCAGAGCAGGTCTACATAGCTATGGGCCACAACTGTTACTATACTGAGAACACCCATTGTTCTTCAGAAATGTAGATATATACTTTTACCAAAGTCTTCATGCAAGGTGAGGAAGATATTTGTTACAGTATCCACAGATATGTTACTACAGTTTTTTTCAACCTCATCTGATTTTAATTTCCAAATAATGGTTGTAAACAATAAGTGGGATGAGCTTTTTATTTATTTATTAAATTCAGTTTATTTATACAGCGCCAAGGCACAATAGAAGTCATCTCAGGGCACTGAACAGAAACATTCATATACATATCTATATATATATATATATCT